GAGGAGACCTTGGAAGTCACAACCAGGACGCTCAGCTGTTTATAATGAGAGTTCGGTGTCCAGATTTTAGCTAGAGAAAGCAATACCTGAAATTGAGGAGAACTTTAGCTGGAAGAGGCCTCATCTGATAGGAATGGAAACTGAGTTTCAACCTGGCTCAGCGACTTTCTCAGGGGCACACGGAGGGAACGGGGTGAGCGGGATGAGGACTCTTGCCTTTCCATCTCTGCCGCATTGGATTTGGTTTCACCACTGCTCTGAATCTGGTGAGGATCAGAGCTCCTTGCGTTTAAGTTACTTTTAAAAGGCAACACTATCCTAGTTCTTCTCAAGCCTAGCCTTTATGATCATTTGTATTTTAATGATCAAGTTTTTCTCTAATTAGCTTCTCCTAATAAGAAAACTTCATCATAAATGTGTTTGGAAACCATGAAAGATATTTTTATATATCTCAGGAGGTGTTTTTAAACACCTTAAACCAGAGAGAGGTACAATTGCATTTTCTACTTGTCCTTATAACAAACTGAACGAGATTTGTTCCTGTTAAATTATAGTTAAACTCTCTAATATTTCATTATTACAACTAAAATCAGCTAAGGTAACTCTGCTGCAAATTCCACATTTTCATTTTTCTCAAAACAATGACCATAGCAGGAGAAAATCTTCAAAGGTATATTTTAGAGGAACAGTTATATATTTTTAAAAGCACTGGAATCAGGTCAGAGAAATAAAGTGTAAGCTGGCTTTTCTACCTGTCTCTGGTGATGTCATCTGAGTCTCAATTACATCATCAGTAAAATGGGGCTAATGATAGATGCTCTCTACTTCACAAAGCTCTTGCACGGAAAAAATAGATAATAGGTGGGAATTACTTTGAACTTTTCTTCAGAAAATCTCTGTATTACTAGTTTTTTAAAATATCATTTTATAATGCTAACAATTTGTTATATGTCTTATTTAAAATGTGTTGTATTTTGAGACAATCACCACAAAAAGCAGATTTAAATATGATAATATCACAATTTAAAAATGAATACCTTTTTGTCGGTGGGTAGTTGAAATATTGGGGGGCTCACTTTGTAAAGTATACGATTGTCTAACCACTATGTGGCTGTACACCTGAAACTAAAAGAAAATAATATTGACTGTGAATTATAATTGAAAAATAAAATAAATACCTTTTAATGTTGCAGGAAGATGGCTTTAGAATTAGCCTGCCATCCCTTCTTTATATGGAATACTAGGGGCCCAGTCCACAAATTTGTGCACCTTGAAAGGAACTGTGGGCCGCAAGGCTGCAGTGGGCACAGGGGTGGGTCTCGGCCCATCCTCTGTGCCCCCACCTGGCCCCTCCCACCACAGCCCTCCCTACACACACCCCTCCTCCCCCCGTCTTGCTGCTTGCATCTGCTGACAGCGCCGAGCGATCAGGGCCAGTGCCGGGAGCCAGCAGCGGGTGTGAGCGGGGCCAGTGCTGGCATCAGGTGCTACTGCCAGGCAGGACCGCAGCTCCCGGGAGCAAAGAATTTTTGTTAACCAACAGAGCCTTGCCCTGATGACAGCGACCGGCACCCCACCTTGGTCTGGTGCCCCTGCTTACCTGCTCTACCATCCCGCTGGGGCTGACACCCGCCATGTTCGGCGCTCTGCCACCTGCTGCCGATGCTCCCCATGTTCTGCACGCGCCCCTTGGTGGTCAGCGCACGTCATAGCGACTGGTTGTTCGGTTGGTCAGTTGTTCCGCCATTCGGTGTATTTGCATATTAGGGTTTTATATATACAGATAAGGCTGACTGAATATAATTTGGTCTCTGTCATGGGATTTGTTTTTATTCCACTAGATGGTGCAATTTGAGGTCTAAAGTCTGTCCCAAAAAATTATCAGAAGCTTAGTGATAGAGTTACTTTCCCTTTGGAAAAGGCAAAGTGAGGAAAACGAGAGGCAGGTGTTAGTAATATATGAAGTCACATGATTGTCCTCTCCCAGGGGCAGAGGAGTGTAGAGTAGAGCATGTTCCTACGTATAGTCTTTCACTAACTAGCTCTTAGATGACTCACTTCACTCATCTGGACATGGCTTTCTTCTTCTTTCTCTGCTTCCCTCTCTTCCCTTCTCTGGAACCAGGACAGAGATCACGAGTTCTGTGGCGGCCACGGTGTGCAGATGAAGTACTCAACAAGGACAGTGCCAGTGTTCTGTCTAAATGTGTGGCCTGGGAGGGCGGCCAAACAAGTCACAACCATCAGGGTCTGCTCCTGTTCCTGCTATGCTCCCCAGGCGGCACTAAGCCTCCTCTGATCTTGCCACTTGTCTATAAAGCCGACTCTCACATCTGACATCACCTCCTCTGAGCAGAGACTACAAGGATGGAGGAGACAATGCAGCCAAAGGCCAGGCCTTTGAATGAGAGCTAATTATAAGCAAAGCATCCGCGGTGAATACATAACTACAACCTGACCCTTCATCTGCGTTCAAATGCTCCCGAATTGGATGACATCATTCCCACATGTGAAAGAATATTTTGCTGGAGAAGTGAAAATTATTACGGGGGAGGAAACCAGGCCTTTGAAGGAAAGTGCAAAGACCGGGAGACAACCCCTCTGCACAAAAGAAGGGTGAGGGTGGCAACGTATTCTCCTCATTGGGAAGAAGGAAACTTGCAATAAGAGTGGAAGTTTTGAATCCATGTTGAGTTGATTTTTGTGTATATTCTAGGACAGTGATGGCGAACCTATGACACGCGTGTCAGAGGCGACACGCAAACTCATTTTTTTGATTGATTTTTCTCTGTTAAATGGCATTTAAATATATAAAATAAATATCAAAAATATAAGTCTTTCTTTTACTATGGTTGCAAATATCAAAAAATTTCTATATGTGACATGGCACCAGAGTTAAGTTAGGGTTTTTCAAAATGCTGACACGCCGAGCTCAAAAGGTTCGCCATCACTGCTCCAGGGTAAGGGTCCAATTCCATTCTTTTATGTGTGGACGTCCAGTTTTCCCAGAACCATTTGTGAAAGAGACTATCCGTTCCCCTTTGCTATACTCAACGGTGAAAAATTGCAAGCTTCACTCATGCTCAAGACAGTTCTGAAGTCTTAGCCAGATCAACTAGGTAAGAAAAAAGAAATAAAAGGCATCCACATTGGAAAGAAAGATGTAAAATTATCTTTCTGCAGATGATATGATCTTATGTGTAGAAAATCCTAATGACCACACACACACACACACACACACAGAAACTGTTAAAACTAAGAAATGATTTCAGAAAAGTTGCAGGATACAAAAATCAACAAACAAAAATGAGTTGTGTTTCTACATACTACCAATAAACTATTCAAAAAAGAAATTAAGGAAACAATCTTATTACAATAGCACCAAAAAAAAGGATAAAATACCTAGGAATAAACTTAACTAAGGAGGTGAAAGACTTATTTACTGGAAACTATAAAACACTGATGAAAGAAATTAGATACAAACAAATGGAATGACATTCTGTGTTCATGGGTTGGTTAACTTAATATTAGTAAAATATCCACCCTACCACAAGTGATCTATAAATTCAAGACAGTCCCCATCAATATTCCAATGGCACTTTTTACAGAAATAGGACACAACCATCTACATTTATATATTGTGAATATTTGCTTTCCATAAAAATAGCTCATATTCTTGTAGTTTTGCCCATAGAACTGGTTTAGTGAAAATCTATTTCATTTTACAAACTACTGCTTCAGGATCTTAATTTTAGGCTGCAAATATGGAAAGAGAGAAAAAAAAATATAACCTGTTTAGTAGTGTGGTAAACTCACTACACTAAGACTAGAAAGCCTAGATTTTATTTTATTTTATTTTTTTATTGTTTTATTGTTTAAAGTATTACAAAGGGTATTACATATGTATCCTTTTTTTCCCCCGCCCTTGACAATCCTCTGGCCTCCCCTACCCCCCAGTGTCTTATGTCCATTGGTTATGAGAAAGCCTAGATTTTAATTTCAACTATATGATTCACTAGTCATGAAATAATAAAAGTAAGAATAACAATAAATGGGAAAACCTTTCATTTGGATTGTTTTTTAATGTACAATATTTTCACATATACTAGTATTTAATGTTTATCAAATTCTTTTTGGGGCTCTGTTTGCTTATCTGGAAAGTGGGGATAAGAACTCTTAGTCTGCCTGCTTTACAGGAATACTGTAAAAATAAAAGACAAAAAATATGTAAAGCTGCAGTTAAAATCACAAACTGCTATGTAGAACTATTATTGACACTAATGTGAAGAGTCAATATGACAATGGATGACCCCATCAAGGGTGACGAGAGAAAAGAAGAATGAGACTAACTAAATTAGTCAATTGTGAAAACGTGGAGGCAGCATTTCTGGACCACATAAATATCTCTTATCCACGCAGATGTCTCACAAATGAGCAGGGCAAGGAATTCTGGCTAAGGATGCATTTCCCAATCTCATCTTCTATCGAAAACTTGATCTCATCCCAGATGATTCCAAGCTGCCTCTCGGGGCTGTGAAAGCTCTCAGAGCACATACAGTGATAGGAAGCTTCCTTTTTCTCTTGGGAAAACACTTGTTCTGGAATGAAATGGCTGCAAGGTTCTCTGACACAGGCAAAGACCACCTCCTTCCACCTGCTGAAAATGATGACATGAAGAAATTGGTTCTGGGCCTGTGTGTTATAAGGCTGCCTTATTACACTTCCCTTCTGCTTGCCTTCTAAAACCTTTTCCCCCAGTGTGGGACACATACCATTCGGTCAGAAAAATCGATAGATGCTTAAGTGCCTGGAAGCATTTATCTGTGTTCTCAATAGCTTTATCTCTGTGCTGAAATAAAATGCTTTTTGATCGGAATCCTCTCTCTTCTCACCTAATAATGGATACAGATGGAACCTCTTCAATCAGAGCAGAAAACCACCAAACTCAGGACCAATCAAAGGGTTTCAAACCATATTGACAGAGCTAAAAATGCTCTTACCTGGGCAATTATGTCTGTAATTTCTGAATAACTGTGGCATCGTCCCACACAAGATCGAGCCAAAAAGTCTTCCACCAGCCGCGTTCCAATGCCGTATCCCCTGTGGATGGAGGAAAGACTGTGGTCTGGAAATAATATTTGAGTACTTAGTGCTGTTTGTCAGTGTTTAAGAATGGATTCATCTAGTTAGCACTTGCCAACTGGATTACAAACTAAACCTAACGTGACAAGTCAAATGGCTATTTAACAGTGGGCTTCTTATTTGCCCCACAGACCACAGAAACAGAGACCAACAAGGCCCTGGCCGGGTAGCTCAGTGGGTTACAGAGTTGTCCTGATACACCTAGGTTGCAAGTTCCATCTCCAGTCAGGGCACATACAAGAATCAACCAATGAATGCATAAATAAGTGGAACAACAAATCTCTCTCCTCCTCTTCCTCCTCCTCTTCCTCCTCCTCCTCTTCCTCCTCTCTCTGCAGCACATCCAGGGAATAGTAACTAATCTACAAGCAAAGGAATTTGAGGAGTTAGGGATGGCCCAAACTTGGCTCTGCACACTAAAGGTAAATAAGGCTGGTTGGTGTTTGTGGCCTAATGTTTCTCATTAGCAACTAACTTTCTCATCATTAGCTGTTGAGAATGAGGGTCAGTTAACTTGTGGTCTGCTACAGGTGTGGTACCTAGATGCTCATTCTTCTCTTAGCAGAGTTATTGTGGTAGGAGGGCAGGCATGCCTGGGGTGGGCTCTAGAAGGAGGGGATGAGGGGAATAGAAAAATCAATTTTTGTTGCTAGTGTAGATGTCAACAGTTAGAACTCTGAGTTTTTGTGAAAAGAAAACAGAGCCAAGTTCAGAAAATTCATTTTTTTCATTTCAGGGAAACTGAATCTGTGGGAATTGGGAGAAAATATTTGTAATAGCTCGACCTCACAACGAATAGCTTGAGTAGTACTTGCAGTACAATTGTGAAAGCATTTTATTGAGATGTGACCTGAGTATGTGGCTAAGATGGCTAGCAGACACCTTCAGCAAGATCAGCCCAAGAACTTTCAATCTAGTTGAGGAAATATGACCTTCATGGTGGAAATAAAGAAGAACAAGACTTCCTTTGCCAAACCACTGACACAAAACCGGGCTTTTCATTTCACAGCAACATGTGCATAAACCAGTGAAACGATTTGAATGGAGCAACAGAACACCCAGCAGGATAAAGGCACCAAAGTTTGTAGAGGCAATATTTGCTCCTAGGGTCTAAGAAGGGGGGAGACAGATTTGATGTCAGAGTGCTCATTAATTCACTAAATCTAGCGATATTCTATTAATTTTTCTGAGTGGATGGCGATATTAAATTTAGCTTACTTGCTTTTCGAGAAAAATGTTTTGTGATTCTAGTCAGGAAGTTCTCACAGAATAGACTTTTTAAAAACAGAATGTATACTTCACAGAAATAGTTGTACCAGGATTTTAAAAATGTTCTCAGTGTTTTTAATTTTTATGCATACACACAGGCTTGGCCACTAGGAATAGTGACGGGAAGCCAGAACGTTATGGTCAGCGCCGTATATATACATATATATATATACTGCTTTGGTCAAAGGGTTTGTTTCTGCAAAGTAGATATTTTGTTTACTTATATAGCAAATTAAAAATGTAAGATGCAGAGGCTATTCAAGATATCCAGATGTGAATTATTGTGTTTCTTAAGGCAAGTCCTTTTGGCAGCCTCTCAAAATTTATTCTTTAACTAATATTTCATTCCTATTTGTTAAAATGTGCATTCAAGTAGTAGCTAACCAGAGATAATTTTTTTTAGTCAAAGAAGCGAATTTCTGTATTTTCTACCTATGTTCCCCAAAACAATGCAAATCTAACATAAGCTAAATAAAATGGTGTAACCTCTGGACACGCTATATGGCCGGTTGCAGTGTGACCCGAGTGTAAAATAGCTTATGCGGCTCCCACTCTTACTGACAGTTTAGCCAAGGAAGTGCTTCTGACTAATTAAGAAGAAATGAAAAAAAAAGAAGTACACAGATCAAAATAAATACAGGACAATGAAAAAGAACTTTCTAATAGGAAAAAATAATAAGCACATAAAAAAGAAAGAAAAACCAAGTTTTGAGAGAAAAAAATATTTAATATTTATTTTATGGTTTGTTTGTTTTTTCCTGTATTCTAACTGAAAATACAGTGAATCCTTTTTAAAAGCTCTAAAATGCTCAGCTCAGCTAGGCTAAATTTCCCATTCAACCTGTCGATTAAATCTTCTACTGATTTTTCAGTCATTGTCCTGTTAGAACCCTTTTCAGAATCCATAATTAAGAAGTTTAAAAATGTTGACAGATATTTTATTATTTTTTATCTTTATTTATCAACTCTAGAAAGAGAAAAGAAAGGAGAGAGATAGAGAAACATTGATTTGCTATTTCACTTATTTATGCATTCATTTGTTGTTTCTTGCACGTGCCCTGAAACCTTGGCCTATAGGGACAACACTCCAACTGAGTTACCCGGCCATGGCCAACAGATATTTTATTATTGAGCAATAACATAATGTTCATATAATTATTCTGAGAAATTTAAAGGCTGAATTTGTGCAAAAGGAATCTCCACTAGTAAAGACAAGAATAATGAGCATTTAAAATGGAAGAAGTAGGTTCCACTAAATGACCCCACTGAAGATCAAACTTGTACCCTTTTCGTGTACCCCACAATGCTCCAACCAGTGGAGACACCTGCAAGGGTCCATTAGTAGCTTTTTGCATATCCTTCCACAGACAGTCTATGCTGATGTAAGCACATATATATATATATATATATATATAGTTAGTGGAAGGAGTTATGTTAGAACAAATGCTTTCTGAAAAAAATCAAATTTGATGATTCATCATGTTAAAAGAAAAAAAGTGTTTTACCACCTCCTTTCTTATAAATGACTAGCAAAGAAATGATTTCCAACTAAAAAGAAAACATTCCATGCCTGATATACATGGGAAAAGTCCCTTCCCACTCTTACACTTTATGACAACCCAAATGTCAGCTGGCAGAAATGATGTCTAGCCTTAAGATGTTATTTATTCAGATAGAAGATGAGCCAGTGGGATGGAGGAAGAGAAGTCAGGGTGGGGAAAATGCAGAGGATGCTAAGAAACAACGCACATTCCACAAGAATGAAAAACTTCTACTTACATTTTATCTAAATATGTATTCACATCTTCATCTTTTTCATAATCCTTGCACAGTTGGGCAACCAGAGCTCCATAGGTTAGGACAAAGAGATCTTTGTTCTGGAGAAAAATGGGTAGTTTCACGTTATTGGCAGTTACAAATAATACACTGCTCTGGCTTTTAGTTGGATGCAGACTTCCAGATGGTCTGTTCACTTTCCCACTCTCCATTCTACCCATATTTGCATACATTGCTGGGGG